GTGTCGTACGGCAGGAACCGCACCAGCTGGCACATAGACACCACAAGCGCAAACAGCGCCACGTTCGCCTTGGTCATCGGCGGACGGAAAAACGTCATCGCCATCACCACGCTCACCTTGCGCGCCATAATCCACACCTCGAACCGGTAGTTGGCCGGCGAGAACCGCCCCACAAGGAACGCGTACCGCAGACTGAACAGCACAGGATCCGCCACGCTCCGCACCCGCGTCAGCAGGTAGAACACAAGCGACGGCAGCCCCAGGCAGTACACCACGCAGAACACAACCGCAACTCCAAAGTAGTTCCAGTACCACGTCCCGTAGCAGCTCTTCGCCGGTGCAGCCTCGAGCACCCACCGCCCGTCCTTGTCGCGCCGGCACTGCAGGTAGCTCATCGCCATCGCCGCAAGCGGCAGGTACAGCAGCACCATCAGCTGCAGGTACGCACGCCGGCACGCGTCGCGCAGCGCTCCACCCGTAATCAGCACCACATGCCCCAGCCGCGGCGCAAGGTGGTGCTTGTTCACCATCACGCTGCAATACACAATCGCAAACGGTACAACAAACAGCAGCGGCAGACTCACCGTCATCCACCACTTGAGCAGCCACACATCGTCCGTCACCGTCGCACACTCGGGCGAGCTCAGGTCAAAGTTGAGGTTGAAGAACGAGACCACGTTGAAAAACTGCGACGCAAAGTTCGACCACGGCAGCTCAAACTGCCCGTACATCGCGCTGATCTGCAGCGAGTTGAACCCGATCATCACAGCCGCAAACCGGTAGCTCAGCTCCTCCTTGGCGTTGAGCCACACGAGCAGGCCCACAAAGCACACCGCGAGCACAAACACCACCGCGAAAATAGGCAGCGTCCGGTTGTCACACTTGTAGCACGATCCGCTCAGCGCATAGTACCCGCGATCGCACGCTCCGCACAGCTGTCCGGTGTACCCCTCCGTGCACCGGAACGGGAACCCGCCCTTGCACGCCCCGGCGTTCGGGCACTCCAGGAACACCCCAGGATCCTCCGTCGGGAAAAACCCAGGCCGTGCCACAGGCAACGACTGCCCGCCGTCGCACTTGGCCCCCTCCGGACACGCCTCGCACCCCACATTGATCTGTCCCGTCGCCGTCCAGAACCCGGGAATGCACGAGCAGTTGAGTCCGAGTCCAGGCTCGGGCACAAACCCGGGAATGACCTGCGCGTTCTCCGGGCACGCCAGACACTCGGTTGCCCCTTGCCCAGTCAGCACCGTCGACGCCGGGCAGATCTTGCACGGCTCGAGCGACGTCGCATTCGAGAACGTGCCCTCGGCGCACAGCGTGCACTCGAGCACAGTCGAGCCCGGCCTGATAATCGCTCCAGACCCCGGCAGGCACGCCTGCACAACCACAGAGTCGCGCACAATCGCATCCGGCACAAGCTCCAGTGGAATCGCAGACTGCGCAACCGCAATCTGCACCGCAATCGGCACTCCCACCTCGGCCCCGCTCCGCGCTGCAATCCCTACTCCGCCAAACGACAGCTCGGCATCGGTCATCAGCTGCTGCCGCCCAGAGCCCACAAACGCAAACTCGGCCTCCTTTGCCCCGTCCTCAAACTCCATCGAGAGCATCAGCTGCGGGTCAACAACCACTTGTCCGAGCGCGTCCCGACCAGTCACCACTCCGTACCCGCTCCCAAACGGCGCTCCCGACGACACAAGCTCCGGCAGACCCGCCATCCACTGCAGCGACACCACAGGCATCGCCGCCATCGCCCCGTATCCGACCACGCTCTGCACCTTGTCCAGGCTCTGGTTGAACGCCCCAAGCATCCCGCTCGACGCGCTCGCCCACGGCAGCCCGCGCAGCTCCGCAGGCGACTCGGCCAGACAGCACGGATCGCCCGCCATCCCACACAGCCCGCCCTCAGGCAGGCAGCTGAAGAACAGTCCAGAGCCCACGTCGTTGCCGTTCGGCTTGGCGGACACGTCAAACTCAAACCCGCTTCCCGTCCCCTCCACGCTCACCCGCGACCCACACCCAAAGCCCACGCTCCCGTGCACCGCAGAGTTCCGCATCAGCACGCTCGAGCGCACAAACACCCCGCCGCGCTCCGCGCAGCTGTACAGACTTCCTTCGCCAAGCGTAACTTCGTCCTCAATCAGCAGCGCCTCCAGCGACGCCGACGATGCCTCGATCGCCTGGCCGTTCTTCGTCGCCGTCCCGGCAAGGTAGTCGACCCCGGACGTCGCTCCGCCCACCCCGCCAAACGCCGCCTCGTTGTCGCGGACAACGCAGCCATCGACAACCATCCGCCCGCCGCCGATCGCGCTCACCGCTCCGCCGATCCGCCGCGCCCGGTTCTCCGCCAGCGTGCTGCCTGTCAGCTGGCCGTCCGCCCCACGCCCACTTCCGGCCACGCCTCCGCCGTGCACGTCAGCAGCGTTCGAGCTCACAACTGCGCCGCTCGCCACCACCGCCGCCGCCGCTCGCGCCAAACGGCTCGCTCGCTCAGCCTCGGCCGCGATCCCGCCGCCGCTTCCGCTCGCAGAGTTCGCCGTCACAATCGCCTCGCTTCCGAGCACAATCCGCGTCTCGCCGTTCTCCAGCGACACCGCGTGCAGCCCACCGCCGCTCCCGCCGAGCGCCGTGTTGTCCGACACCACAGACTCGTTCCCGCCGCCCAGCGTCCCAAACTCGGCCGAAATTCGGCCCTCGCCGGACGCCCGCAGGAACAGCCCGCCGCCGTTCTCAAGCGCCACGTTGCGCGAAATCGTGCTCCGCTGCACGCTCACGTTAAAGCTGCCCGCAAGCGCAATCACAGCTCCGCCGCCGCCGCGCCGCGGATACGCAATCGCCGCAGACCGGCCCACAGCCTCGTTGTCCTCCACCACAGACTCTACAATCTCCAGGAACGACGTCCCGTCTGCAGACTCGAGGAACAGGCACCCGCCAGACACAAGCGCATGGTTGTTCACGCACCGCACCCGCTCAAACACAACGCTCACGTCGCGCCCCACCGCCGCAATCGCTCCGCCAGAATGCTCCGCAGTGTTCGACACAAACGCGCTGTCGCGTGCCACCAGCGACCCGCCGTCGCGAAGCAGCACCGCTCCGCCAAACCCAATCACAGGCGACGCCACAGACAGCTGGTTCGCCGTCACCGCTGTCGAGTTGGTCACAGTCACAGACACAAGCTCCAGCCGTCCGCCCACAACTTCGATGCTGCCGCCGCCAAACACAGCCTTGTTCGTCCGCGCTCCGAGCACAATCATGTTCTCCATTTTCAGCACCGTCGTGCTCCCTTCCACACGGAACAGCAGCGCACCGTCGTCGTCGCTCCGCTCGCCGGCCGTGCAGTCAAGCACCGCGCCTGGGCCCTCGCCTAGAAGTCGCACAGACTTGGCCACCGTGTACGGCACATCGCGCCAGCATCCGGTGTACCGCCCGGCCGGAAGCAGGACCGTGTCGCCGTTGCACTGCCCGACCCATCGCGTCACCGACGCCGCCACACACGTCATCGTGTACCCGCATCGCTCAACCTCGACCCGGAACGTCGTAGGCGGCCGCGGCGTCTGCCACACCGAGTTTGTCCCCGAGTACACCGCCCGCTCGCTCGAGGTGTGTTCAGACGACGTGAGCCAGTCCGGGAAGCCATCGGCATCGACGTCAGCCACGGCAATGCGGTCCATGTAGCCGCGGCGGCTGGTGGAGCCCTGCTGGTACCACCGAGTCGCTGCAACCAATCGGCTAGCGCCAACTCCTGTATCCGTGTCGTTGAACGCGCTCGCGGGCAGACGCGGTGTCTGGTTGAGCAGGACCGGTGTCCGAGCTGTCGAGCAGCCGACAAGAATGTCGTCGTACCCATCCATATCAAGGTCGATAACCTGCAACGCCCGTCCATATCGGCACTGGTAGCCGTCAAGTCGGTCAAACGTCGCCCAGTCGTCCGGATAGTGCCGGTCCTGCAGGGCTGGCCATAGCGGATGCGTCTCGTTGCCGACGTTGATAAAGTACGACACCGGGCCGGGGCTATAGTCATCGACAGTGTACACCACATCAAGCAGAGAATCGCCGTTGAGGTCAGCAAAGATCACATCGTAAGCGTTGTACGAGCCACCGCGTGCCACAAGTACCTCGGGTGACGATACCGCCCACGGCGCGTCCGACAACTCAGCCACGGGCTCGGATGCAAAGAACACCACAGCACCGTTCGAGTGGCATGCCACAATCACGTCCTGCAAACCGTCGCCTGTCGCGTCGCCAAGTTCCATTCGCAACGGGTTATTGCACACCGCCGTCGTCCAGCTCGCGATCTCCACCTCGTTCTCAAACCGCGTCGGCGACTCTGCGCTACCGCGGATGAACACCAGGTTGAGGCTGTCACGGCCCAACGCAATCACATCCACATACGCGTCGTCGTCCAACATAGCTGCGTCAAAGTCCAGCGCGTCGTCGAGCACATCCGTGGTGTTGACAATCTCCACCAGAGTCTCACTGGTAAAGAAAGGCGCAACGCCGGCGTTCGGGAGCCAGCCGACCACGTTTGCCGGATCCGCCGTCGAAAAAATAATGTCTACCAGCCCGTCCAGGTCCACGTCTGTAGCCACCATACACTTCATGTGACTGCCGGCGGCCGACACGTCGATGACCAGCGGGCTCGCAAAGAGCGGGCCGTCCACAAACAGCTTCAACTCGCCGGTATCAACCCCATTCCCGTCAAACACAACAAAGTCGAGCTGCGAGTCGCGGTCAAAGTCCGCCACCGTCGACGAGTCGATTTGGTATATCGCTTCGTACGCAACCTCGTCATAGCCCTTGACAGCACCTGCATACCCGAGGTTCGGCATCCAAACAAACGAGCCAGCAGCAAGCACCACGTCCACAAACCCATCACTGTCGTAGTCGGTGAGCGCAAAGGAGCTCCCGCCGATGCCCGCCATCGGCATTGCCGTGTGATCCTTCACCCGCACCGGTGCACTCGCGTTGCCTGGCAGGCCCATCATGACAACAGGCTCCAGCCCGCTCACCAGCGCCACAATGTCCAGCTCGCTATCCTCGCCCGGGTTGAGCGACGCCACCGCAAGATCAATCTGGTTCGACGACCGCCCCGTCTGGATCTCGCCAAGGAACAGCCGCCGCCCCGCCGTTGGCAGCTCGCGCAGTGGCCTGCCGAGACTCAGCAGCGCGAACAACTGCAATTCCCGAGTCACCACAAGATCAAGACTCCCGTCGAGGTCCATGTCCACTGCTGCCAGTCCGCTCGTCGCAGGAAGGTCGTCAGCAATGACGGTCGCCACGGCGCTTGCGCTAGCGCTGGTCCAGTCATCCACCTCGTACAGCGTGATGAACCCATACACGTTGTTGCCAAACGATTGCAGCGACCGCCAGCCAACAACAACCTCACGCGCGTTGCCATCGCCATCTGCATCAACGACAACCAGCTGAGTCGGGACCTCGCGAAAGGCCTGCGACTCGCCTAGCACGACTGCAGTCCCAAACGCCACAGGCGCACCAGGCGTTCCGCCATACGCGTTCTTCGCATACTCTACCGTCGACTTGCCGGTATTACCCACATATGTCGCGTACACCACATCGTAGTCGCCGTCGCTGTCAAAATCGTCGACGGCGAGATGGATGACCTGGTCAGTAGCTGTCGCCACAAGCTCAGCCTGGCCGCCGTCATACGCCAGCATGCCGGGCCCGCCCGTCCGCGTTCCCGGCCCAGCTGTCACGTACACTGCCACCGCAAACCGGTGGATGTGCGGGTGGACAACCACAAAATCCGGCACTCCGTCGCCATCGAGGTCGCCGAACGACCGCCTCCCGCCCCGCCCAAGACTCCCACCGACAATCGGGATCGGTCGATTGCGGTCGTACACAAATGCAAGCTCCGGCCACTGGTTGCGGTAGTACACAACCGCGCTCGTCACTGCCTCGCCTTCCCTGCCAGTCGGCTGTGCCACTAGGTCAAGCATTCCGTCGCCATCCATATCCACCAGCTCAAATGTCGTCGGGTACACGCCCCAGCCCGACTGCATCAGCACATACTCGTCGTACGATCCAGCGAGTCCGCTGCTCGGATTGTACAGCGCACAGAAGAACCGGTTGCTGCGGACCTTGCCGCACACGTCCGGATACGTGTCATTGTTGATGTCGCCCAGCCGGATGTTGTGCGGCCCGTCAATCGTCACCGTGTCTTCGGGCACAAAGCTCCCGCCACCCTCGTTGCGGAGAATGACAACCAAGTCCAGCTCGTAGAGGGTGTACACCACATCATCGTCGCCATCGTTGTCCAGGTCCGCAATCGCAATCGAGTTGAGATTGTCTCGGTTACCGAGTGCGACCATCGTCCCAAGCGCAAAGTTGGCCCCAGGCCCAGCCGAGTTAACGTACACCACAAGCGTGTCGTCCACGTTGGCCTCTAGCAGCACGTCCAGGTCGCCGTCCGCATCATAGTCGAAAAACTGCAGGTACGACGAGCGCACCTGCGAGGGTGTGAGCATCACCGCGCTCGCGCCAAACACTCCTGGCCCGGTCGTATGCCACACCTCAGTTGCCCCGCTCATCCGCTGCAGAACCACGTCAGGCCACCCGTCGCCGTTGACGTCCGCCACATCAATGGCCCGCGGATACGTCGACAAGTACGGCGCAATGAGCCGCGGCGTCTCATCAAGCGTGCCGTTGCCATAGTTGGCAAACCACACAACCTCATGGTAGTACGATGACGACGTCGCGTACGCCCACCAAACAACGTCGTTGTCGCCGTCGTTGTCCATGTCGGCGATGAAGAATCGCTGCTCCGTGTTTGAGAGTGCCGTCGCTCCAGCCTTCATCACCACCTCGCCCATGTACTTGGGCCATCGCCGCGTCGTGCTCCCGGTCATCACCTTGATCCCGGGATTCTCGGCCGTCACAAACTCGGGCACTCCATCGCCGTTCAAGTCTCCAGCCCACGCGTCGCTCACACTCGACGACAGCATTCCAGTTGCTCCCGGAGAAACATACACCGGCGTTGCCCACGTATCCGCCTGCATGCCCGCCGGGCCCATCTCCGCCGCTATGCATCCGCTCAGCTTCATGCCATCATCCGCCGGCTCAAACTGCGCCACGCCGTCCACTGGCACGCCAGCCGTCGAGGGATACTGGCGAGTAAACGGCGATGACGACGGGAGGAAAGTCATGCCGTACCGCGAGTGCGCCGCCACATCCCGCCGCCCATCGCAGTCGATGTCCACCGCCGTCTCGAAAATACGCTCACTGGCAAATATCGATGAGCCACGAATGCCCTCCGTCACCGTGCCGTAGATGTCGTCATCGGTTGCCGGCTGCAGGTCCTCGCGCCACCCGCCACCCGCCACCCGCCACCCGCCACCCGCCACCCGCCACACCCACCCACCCACACCCACACCCACAACCACACCAGCAGACCG